GGAATTTTTTCAAAAGTTGCTTCCGCTTGTAAAAAGTTTTGCTATTGAACAGTCAAAATCTTGAAAAAAAAGAAGATCTCTGAAAAGTCTTGGCTATTGAACAGTCAAAATCGCAGGTCTCTATCTCGTTCCTATCAAAAGTTATTCAAAAAGTAACCATCGGCCTGACCATTTGGAAGGGATAGTAGTAGCCGATTTAACAACTCGTCTAGGCTCAGTTTTTGATGCTGAATCTGAAAAAAATATTTTCAGAAACTCAGAGAAAGCACGAACCGAAATATAAGGCGTGTTTTGAAAAATACGACATACATTATTATTCGATTTTTTCGTATTTTCCGACCTGAAAAAGACATTTGTATAAGATAAAAAGTTGTTTTTCGGGATCAGCAATTCTCACCCTATCAAATGATGTAAAAAAAACGGCAAAAAAAAATCTGCACCTTACAAGGCTTATAGCTTAATCGTTTCTCATACAGTCTGAAATATTAGGTAATAAACAAAGGATGAATTTAGGCATTGTTTGCGGGAATTATAGAGAACTCGATGAGCTCTATTTATTGCCAATCTCGGATTTTGATTTAAGAATGCTCGTTTCATTTACAAATATCCTTAAAATTATTGATCAGCGAAAAATGCGGTTCATTAAGAGAAAGGTATCTTCTTCTTATCTTTACCAAAAAACTTTCCGTTAAATTGATCGCATCTTCTCTCATCTTAGTTTTAACTTTCATTAACCACCCAGTTATACGTTTGAGGTGTACCTAACAAATATACCTAAAATAATAATTTGGAGTTATTATTTTATTCAGTATGGGAAATATCGTTCAAACAATGTAGAAATCTTACGAGGGAATCATCCCAAGTGATTAATCGTTTTAATTGTGAAATTACCCTTCTTATATGTAATCGATCACACTAATTACGAATATGAAGTCCGTTTTGTCCAGTTTCAGTTTCTCAGCCGGAATTTAAAAACTGTGACTTCGGAGACTTCAAAATTAAAATTGTTCGAAAAAAACTTCTGAGTCAGTCGTTTTGTAGCCAGCATGAAACTATCTCTAATCTGTAATTTCTACGCTTCCCAATGAAGTTTTAGCGGAGCTTTTTTTCTCAATTCGATACGGTTCTCACATATGGTAACTATACAATGACTAAAACACAGTGGACAATCAGGCGGACATTAGGGGAAAAATCGAAAGCGAGATTTTTCAAGATCTGAATAGTGTCATATATACACTACTGAATGGCCGATCTAACAGCGAAAAGATTTTGAACCAAATGCATAAGATGACCGAGAAAGCCAAGCGTCAATTTTTGGCTGATTTTTTGTAAGTTCTATAAAAAAACTCTTTTTTCCTGACAAGAGTAAACACATTTAAAATTTGAAAGATATATATTCTGAAAGCTAAGTGTTTAGGCTATCGACTGGTAAAAAATGGTCTCAAGCTGCCTCTTTCCTGTGTGAGTGAACTTAACTTTTTTTCGGCGCTAAGTGTTTTTTCAAAAGCTGCACTCAGCAAAGTGAGTGCGCGAGGGTTAGCGAAGGTCCGTCGAAGCTGAAATTTTTAGCAGTTATTTACCTGTAAGTGGACAACCTACAAAAGTAGCAAAAAGTTGCAATTTTTTCCAGTTCCGGATTTATGAGTTTTCCAAAAACTCTAGTTTTTCAACGATTTTCTCAGACAGAAACCATCCTAGCTAAAAACTAAGGACAGATTCGGAATCAGCGTGAAAAACTGCATCTAATCATGTCCACTTTCGACGAACTCTTGCTGAAGTTTGCTGGAAACAGCGATTCTCCAAGGTTTTTCACTAAAGCTGTAGCTGATGTTTTAGTATGGCACCTTCGAGCTTCCAGAAACTGTGAAAACCAGTTTTCGGCAGGTTTTCGACCATGGCGAATCTAATGATGCAGTTCAAAAACTTTTAAAGTGGTTTTCTAAAGGATTTCCAGAGACCGGATCTCTGGAATCCCCTAACAAAACATTTTTTGAAGATTTTCTGGTCTCCTTAGAAAGAGCTTGTCCGAAAACCTACAAAAGCTATATTTCGAGTGAAGAGGAACTATGTTGTACCAAATGTCCGCCTGCCTATGGAAAATTGCCCACTGTGTAAAAGACGGTTTGTCCGTATGAAATTTTTGTGTGCTATTGCCGATCATAAACTTGTGTTTCTCTCACTAACCGCTATTTACTGTATGTGCTAGTGTTCTAGAATGAGGACAAAAAGGCGAGTCGGACGGTAACTCTTTTTTTCTCATTTGATAACAACGTCTTACGTAGTGTATTATCTCCGAAGCGAAATAGTTTGGTATATTTTTAATTATGTTAAGTGATGCTAATATTGCTTGTTAATTTTCACAGCTGGTAAGTCAAAAATATTCTTCCAGTCCTGGCGAAGTCAGTCCAAAAGAAAGACAAGTTACCAATCATTTATTTGACATTAGAGACAATAATTAGTTGTTCAACGTATTCTATCGATGAAGAAACAAGCCTTGATGTTTACTCTGACTCTGCTGATGATTGTGATGATGAAAGTCAAAAGAAAAGTAATGATAATTCTGCAGAAGGAATGGCCTGGGAATTAGAAAATAACATCGGGAAAGAAAATAATATTAATGACCAACAATTAATAAGAAGGTTTAGTATAGAATTTATGCGAGAAGTAATTGAATACGCCTAATGTGACAAGGTTCTATGTTTTAATCATTTTTTATTTCTTATCACTTTCATCATTGAATTAATAACGATCAAGACTTCATAAAGAGTAAAAATGATGAATTACTAATTCGCAATAGAACAGTGTTACTTATTTTAACTTCAATAATATTTTTAGTATTCTCTCTTTTTCCTCGTTTTACTATTATTAATGTTGTTCAGTTGAAAAGACTTGAAGTTCGAAGTTCGGAACTCTTCTAGTTGGCAGTTTTAGGTTTAATCATAAGATATGTAAATTAATTCCCCATGGAGGTAATACTCCGAACTATGATCTTTCGATTCATGCACAAGTCCCATTTACATTAAACTTTTTCACAGCGAATAATTGTATTTTAGCCATCGCATAGTCACTATATGTGAGAACCGTATCATGAGAAAAAAAGCTCCGCTAAAACTTCATTGGGAAGCGTAAAAATTACAGATTAGAGATAGTTTCATGCTGGCTACAAAACGACTGACTCAGAAGTTTTTTTCGAACAATTTTAATTTTGAAGTCTCCGAAGTCACAGTTTTTAAATTCCGGCTGAGAAACTGAAACTGGACAAAACGGACTTCATATTCGTAATTAGTGTGATCGATTACATATAAGAAGGATAATTTCACAGTTAAAACGATTAATCACGAGGGACTGTTCCCTTGTTAGACAACAGTCAATAAAACACGCATAATCATATAATCTTTTTTAATTTGTATCTAATTATTCATCTGTTAAGAGTCATTTAGCAGACACAAAAAATCTAAAAATTAGTATCATTTTGCTAACAAAAATGCGAACACAATGGTTAGATTTTGACGCTTCAATTTATATTTCACTGAATGATAATAGGGTGTACTATCAATATGAACTGATTGCATCCACTCATTATTTATCTAGCAGAGCAGCAAGACATATCTTCAAAGCACTCGTTTTCGTCTGGGGTCCGCACGGATCCCAGGGGGACGAATCAGGGTTAAAGCAATTTTTCCAAATCATTGTGATGATCTTTTCTATATGCAACACACGAAAGTAGAAATTGCCTAATATTTGTCCATTTCGCAAGAATCAAAGAGAGAGAAACATTTTCTTTCTTCCATCTGATGAAAAAACAAATATGTGAGTTATTTAACAAAAGTTAAATATTTTCCAAAAGAAAGTTTAGCGTCCACGCAGAAACATTAATATTAAGTAAAATGTTTCTACAGTTTTAAAAATGAATCGTTTAAATTTAGTATATTTACTTATTCTCAAATTATATTAATAATAACAAAATAAAAAATGAGACACGTTGCATTCAAAGCTGTTTAACGAGATATCGTTAAAAGTAACTCGAAGAATATGAATAATGTAAGAAAAAAAAGTTTGTATGTTAAATACAACTATTCAAAGTGATGGTTACATCGAATCAAATATATTTCAAACACATTTTAATGGGAACACAGATACGATAGTCTAATTATTTAACTCAGAAACGAACGTTTTAAGTTTTCTTTGTCTTCTTTCTTATTACATTTATAATAAAAATTTGTATTACGATCGTTCGTTTTATTATTAGTTTAAACGGCACTTTCCTTCCCACTTGACAGTGCATACAAGAAAATAATTCCCAATATTTTAAAAGGTATGATCCATTAATTTATTCTGGAATGGAAACATGCGTCTGAAAATAATCAAATAAATAACTTATGATACTTTTCACTGTCAAGAGAGCGAATGTTAGTTAATATGGTATTACAACATTCTTGCATTTAAAGTAAAAATATACAAATCTACAAATTTATGAGAGGCACAGCATAGAGAAAAATTACAAAGACACATCAAGACACATAGTTTGTGATTCTATTTTATAGAAAATATTATTGAAAATAAAACTATTCCTCTCTAACAGTTTCATCCCGCTGTTTTATTCTTTAGTAAAAATACACTGAAGTCATCACAACCATCTTCTTGTTGGCGAGTATCAATAACAAGTTGTTGCGATAAATCGTGTAGTTTTGCTACACATTGTAACTGGTTGTCTTCAATATATAATATATCAGCGAAGTAGGACGTGGGTACAGTGGACGGAAGATTGTAAACCTGTGTGATATTTCTATCATTATTATTTACTGAAGTGGAAACGCCATGTAAAAGATGAAAAACAAATTTCACAAGTGAAATTATCATAGCTGCTCCGATAATGACTAAGAGTAATATACTGGCAGCTGGAAAGCCTCTTTTTTGCATCCAGCGAGGTGTTGTTGTTGGTAAAACAATTTGTTGACAACGATCTTGTTCATGTTCATCGGTCATATTTTGAACATTAGTTGTCTGTGTGATACAGCTAAAATAAGAAATATAGAAATATTGGAAAATATTTTTCAGAAAAATGGTTGAAGACCTACCCACAAGTGACGTTCTTCCAGTTTTTGGATTCACAATGACAATTGGCAATAAATGACATATTCGGTTCCAGACAGAGTACACCACATCTTCTATCGCTTTCACACACTTGATAACATCGATCATCATCTGTCATTATTGTTCGTAATCGATAAAAAGTACAAACATGCGAGGTGTGGAGAGATTTAATACAATCTTTCTGATGTAGACAATATGTATAATTACTCATACTTCGAACTAAATTAATTAATTGTATCGGTGATGATTCTAAATGTACTCGGCATGGCCTGATTGATGGTATCCCTGAATGTCTACATGGTAAACGGGTAAATTTCGTTAAAAACGTTTCATTATCCGATCGACACAAACACAAAGATGAATTCCGGGACTGATTTATGCAACAATTGTCTGTACATTCATTTCCGGCATAAATGAATGAAACTAAAATGTGAGAAATAATTAAAACTAATTTTTTATCTTTTCTTTTAATCTGAGATAGATTTTTGTTATATTGATGGTATTTTCCACTCACCGTTGAGTATACCCATTAAAATTGTGAATAGAAATAAACGTATTGTTATAAATTTCATATAACGTTATCTAACATGCTGATAATGAATTTAGCATTTTTTAGAACGTTTCTCTTCTGCTAACAATAATATTTTTTAAAACAAACAATTTGAGTTTTGCTACATTTTTTCTCCTTCTTCCATAAGCTATAATTGTTGTGTCTTTTTTTTAATATACAGTACATTACCATGTTTATACCACACCATATTCATTAGAAGAAGAAAAATTTTCTTTTTTTTCTCTCTCAGCTATAATATCAAAAGGACCTATTTATTAAATGGTACAAAATCTCTATCTCATGTGAAAAATCAACACGATTTAGGTCAGTGAATATCTAAGTGGAAAAACATAAGAACAAAAGTTCTTTATTTAATCTTGTGAAAAATATATATTAAGAGAAGAAATGTGTCGCACAATATGATTGTACTGATAATAGATACTTCTTTGATGATTCTTTGATTGATTCTTTTTTAGAATTATTCTTATTACGAAGATAACATCAAGAAAACAAACAGAAAATAATACAATGCATATTCCCATGGTATATTTTCTTCAAATTTAAAGGACACGCAGTCTTATTTGGTAAAAACATAGAATAGGGAATTAAATGCACTTTCAAACATAGAACAAAAAACAAAATTAGATATTTAATTAATAGAACATCTGCCTTTTCATACCGTAACAAGAATCATGGACTCATTTTTCTTCAGTTTTCGATTGAATCATATAAAAATATGACTTTTGTCCACAGGAATCGTAATAATCACTTTTTCCAACAATTGATCTTTAAACTATAAAAAAAACATAGTTGTAATGTATATTTGATTACCCACAATTGTTGAAAAAAATAATAATCCAATAAACAAAATGGGCATGAAAAACTGTTGACACTTAGAAGACCCACAATAATAAGACATAATTGACACTTTAATGGAATCTATTAGCGAAAAACAAAATTTGACAACACAATAAAGGCATGAAAAGTCAGTCGATCAAAATCTAAGAAAAAGATTTACTCATAAAAGAGAAAAAGACGGCAAACTCTTCAGAAAAGTTTTTTTTTTTTGACGACTAAGTGACTTAATGCAAGAGCTCATACTCACTCTGGAAAAAGGAACTGTAGTTAGTTACTCTGGAGTTATTTTTCTAGATTAGCAAGATTGTATATGAAATAATACATAGTAGTATGTTTCCTTTCTTAACCATCAATAATGAATCTAAAATATACTGGATTCGTAAAACATTTTCGCAATAGATCGGGCAAAAACTTGAGGCACATGGATGTGTCTGCAAGAACGATGTATCAGAATGTCGTGGATGTGTGAAAAATTTGTTCTTGATCTATCACAAAAAATATCTGGAGTATAAAATATTAAATAACCAAGCATGATCGTCAATCATATCGAAATATGGACATTTTTCACATGAACAAAATATATATATTAACGACAGCGTCTAGATTATTCATAATTTTGACTTACACATCATCACTGATAACTATAACCATTAACATTGTTACCACAACTATTTTTCTGCCATATTTTCTCTTGATGCAACCAGCTCAATTACATATAAAACAGAATATGACACTTGTGAGTGATTTCTACATTATAAACCTCATTTTCTTGTCGAATAGGACAAAGAAATAGGCAATTAAAGGGGTAGAGAATTCCATCTTTCAATAACTAATGTTTTGTAGCTGATATATTCTAAAATAAAAGATGATTATCGTGCTCTCTCATAAAGAGACATTCATAAACTTATTGTGGTTATAGTTGAAAACAAATCTATTTATAGAAATATCAGAAGAAATAAAATCCAAATCTGAAACTTTTCTTTGACTTACATTGAAAACTTTCCAATTTTTTTACACTATTTATTTTCGAAATCTGAGGCAAAGTTTCAAGTCGTCGCTGTTCGACTTCGAGAATCAGAAGAGACGAAGCCGCCATATCAGGATTGTAGAATA